AATGAAATAAAAAACCGCTACCCTAAAAGGTAATTTATAATCTGTGAAGAAAAAGAGAGAGAAAACAGTGACACTAAATTACATAGTTATTTTATATTTGAATGCTATTTTCACATATAAAAAAAATACAAACGGAATGTATATAGTGTTGAAAAAAAAGCTAGTATATATAAAGCTTCGAGTATATAACCAGAAATAGAGACGAAATAAGGGCCATATATTCCTGGTAACACATTAGCGATACAGCTCTTATAAATATCAACTCTCGTTTGCACTGGAGTATAGACCGGCCAACTAATGACCTGTGTGTACGTCTCCGTATATTCCAAAAAATATTCTGTATTTATCGTAATAAAGATAATATCTCTAACAATGCCGTGCTGTTCTATTCGGTGGTGTAGGAAAAACAGCAAAACATCTAATTACAAAACAAACGGAATCACATTTCATCGGTAATTAAATATTAAATATGTAATTTTCGTCCATTATAGAAAAGCTCAAGTTAACTGGTCGATTTGAAGTGAAACAGTTGACGACACCCGTCAATTGTTTCGAACTCGGGCTGGCCAATCGGAGTGCAGTTGTCACAGTAATGATATGGTAGAATAGTTTTCAAACAAATGAAATGACATTTCGTCTCTATTTCTGGTTATATACTCGATGATATAAAGTAAAATTTCTTGTGTAATTTCGAGGTAGTTTGTGTTTTTTTTTTCTATCGTCAAAAATACACCGTATACTAATCATTATAATCTGAATTTTACTATATATTTTTTCCAAATTGATTCAACATCTACATTGTTATGCGCCAAACCAACCAAAACCATTTGAGGTTGTTATAGACTCTTAATTTTTTTTATACGTGAAAATAGTATCCCAATGTAAATAATTAAGTATGATTTATCTAGGAAAAAAATTGAACGTGGTTTCCACCACTTTTGCTCTAATAGTCTCAATTATTATTAATACAAAGATCAAACAAAGAAAAAATCCATCTGTCTGGACTTAAATCAGTGTATGTTGCCATACTGAGGCCACCGCTCGGTTGGTTAAGAGCGGTAGCCCTGACATGGCAACAGACACTGGCTCAGGTTACCTATCAGAAGTCCGAAATGACATTTTCCAGAAATAACTTCGAATTTTCGGTTATGAAAGTAATTTTGAGAGGACAATGTTTTTCTCTTTTAAACCTAACCTAACCGAACCTAATCGTGTCAAAATTGTCAAAAAATAAATTCGAGTTTGTAATTTGGTTACCTCAAGTTCAGTCAGATCAAACTTAAAAGAAAAGCTATTAGAGTATTGATAATGAATACAAACATCGAACACAGAAAAATTGCGTCGACCCGGTGGAACTCACGTCCATGCTGCACCGTAGTATAGCTCTAACCATCTGACCACGGGTCCAGTAACCGAGTCGCCAAAATTCTCCTGTTTTTTTGTTACGACTATCAGCATTCGTCGCCGCTAGTGACATCTAGTGAGAGATTTTTGAATAACCTCACCGCATTCATAATCATAACAAAACTAGTGGAGCTATTTCACAAAAAATCTCAATAAATTTATTAGAGTATTGTCACAAAAAACTAAAAATCAGTTTTAGAATATTGAAACAATATTTCAGCTATGCATCGTTAGGGTAAGTTCCGATAAGTCGAAGACGTTAACTAATTTTAACTGTTTTTAAAACAGAATTTTGTGTTCTATCTTTTTCTATTTAAAACGGATATTTGTTTTAGTTAGTGGACGGCAGAAAATGAAAACTAAAAACATCCATGTCTTATGGTGACACTTTACAAGGGTACTTGCATACGCTATTGGGTGTTTGATGTACTTGGAATTTTTTTTGACGTAGTAGATACAAACATTGACAAATATGACCGTGTACACATGGAGCCAAATAAGGAGTTAAATTTATTTATTTATTTGTATTCAGGTTACAAAGACCCATAAATACATACCTTATAGACTAACATACATACAATATTATAAAGCACTATTTCGTAACTAATCTACACGAATTGCACTTATTGGCGACGTGTGGCGCAATCTAGTGCCAGGTAACAGGTAACCGGCCGCAGAGTTGCCGATACATGCGAGGTTTACTTGCGTATTTGCCTATTTGGCTCCTTTGATGTGCGTCGAGAAACCGACCAGCGCACGGCAGTAATACCCCGTTTTACTCGAGGGATGCGTTCCGGACAAATTCGCGTAAAACGGGGTGTTCTTTTTTGTGTGCCCGCCAGTTGCTATTGTTTTTTGGTCGCCCTACGGTCTCTAACTTGACCTAACGACTGCTACCAGGGTTATAACGGGTTATGATCGAATAACAAGCTAAATATTGTAACGAACGTGCTATTCGAACGAATCCATCTTTTCTAAAACTTTATCTTTGTCTCCAAACAAGAAACTCTTACATTTTTATTTCTTAACCGGTGGCGGCATTGTTAGTAAAAATTATCTTTTACAATTACCTGGATAGCAGTACCAATGTGATTACAAATTAAAGGACGTGTCAAGAAAGAACTATCTGTGACAATGCACTTTTAGTAACTGAGAAGCTACGGGTTCAAATTGGTTAAAACGGGATAATTAAGCGCGAATTTTGAAAATCGCGGAAATCGGGATATTATTGTATTTGTCGAATAGGCAAAGACTTTGTCAAACATGCTATGGACACTTGGTGAGTGACTAAAAATTCATTTTTTCAGAATCGACGAAAACCGAATTACTCTCTTCCCGTCAAAGATCTGTGTAAATTTATGTATAGGTTATTTCCTACTTGCCAAATGTACTTATTTAAAGATAAAAGAGAAAAAATAATTTCATATTTTTTAACAAGGACTATTTTGGCCAGAACTAGCTGACATGAAGCGAGTCTTATTTTGAGTTAAGTGGTTAAGTAGATATTGTTCAGTTGTTTTTTACAATATTCTAAGGACGAATTTATTGACGTTCAACAATGGTATAATTGTGAATTTCACATATTTCGAGTTATAACACTATTGTAATAGCAGTGGGATATATCAAGTACGCAAATACAAATAGACATGCGAAGTGCCTCCATTAAAGTTTCTTGAATATCACAATGTTTAACTACTATGTTGTACAATTATTTTTGTGAAATTTCTCCACTAGTTATAATATTATTAATACAAGGATCGAATACTAAGAAAAATTCATTCGATCTGCCTGGATTTGAACTTGCTCCTTCAGCAGAACGAAACCAGCAGACCTTATAAATTTTTCTGTGCTAATTGCGGATCTTTTTTGCCGTAGCGCCATCTGTGACAAATTTATGAAAGTAATATATTTATGTCTTTTCAATTCCCGTTAGGGAAATTTCAGTTTTTATCAAATGAACTTTAAATTATATTGTTTAAGGTTGATTTCTATGAAATACATTACGTTCCCAGCTTCCATTATAAGGTGGATAATGCGGCCTAAAATATTAGAGTCATACTTTAGTGAAAAATCTGAATGGTTTTGACATACTTAAGCCCGTATTAATAATGACCAAACCATCTTAAGTGCAGTATTAATATTGAGATCTTAAGTATATCTTTATTACATTTAAGATAAAATGTAAAAAAACCACGATACAAAACACTAAAAATTCCGTGGGACGGAATAGGGAAGAACGACCCTTAATCACTTGAGATAGTATAATCCATGATAAGTGTATAAGATTTGGTCGAGACAGTTGATATTCACTTAAGTGCTTTATTAATACGGGCCTTTAGTTTAGTGCAAAAGTGAAATAGAATCGGCTTTTAGCGCAATTATGAAACTAAATGCTTTATAATTTTAGATCTTATCAATCTGTAATTTAGTCTACCGTGTACAAGGTGTAAAATAAGGATTTATTTATATTTTAGCTACTGACATTTCAAAGATAAATATTTATTGTAGGAGTGGCGAAAATGAAGAGTCGGACGGGCAGCGTAACGGCTTTTATTCAAATAAGCAGACAGTGAAAAACACTTTACAATTATTGTTGTTACTACTATGTTTACAATTATTATTCTAATTACTATTATCGTTACAACATTATTATATTTACTATATTGATCGATCAATATTAATTATTAACAACCATAAATAACGAAACCTAGTCGTCACCTATATTATTTACAAAGCAACGCCATCTAGTGGCAGGGTGATGTATTTAATTACACTGTTTTAACGGCCTGCCATAGTTGTAGGGACGGTGTCGGTAGATGGGGCCGCTAACATATTCGTGAAGAATGTTTTGTTACCTCGTAATAAATATTTCAATTGACCGCGCAATATACAAATAGAATTTTTGTTTATTTATCGTTACAATTTATAGAGCGAGCATAGAACGAAACGTGGGGAGTGTCCGACCTCGTCATACATAAAATTGGATGAATAAATTTAAAGCAACAGATTTTAAAAACTTAAGTACGTGGCGCTAGCCATATATGCCATTGGCTGATGCCAAATATGACAAAATTATATTTCATATTCATTTAAATTATTTATACCAGACCCACAGACAAT